GAACAGAACTTTAATCTGAACAGAACTTTATTACAAAAAGAACTTTAATCTGAACAGAACTTTAATCTGAACAGAACTTTATTACAAAAAGAACTTTAATCTGAACAGAACTTTAATCTGAACAGAACTTTATTACAAAAAGAACTTTAATCTGAACAGAACTTTAATCTGAACAGAACTTTATTACAAAAAGAACTTTAATCTGAACAGAACTTTAATCTGAACAGAACTTTATTACAAAAAGAACTTTAATCTGAACAGAACTTTAATCTGAACAGAACTTTATTACAAAAAGAACTTTAATCTGAACAGAACTTTAATCTGAACAGAACTTTATTACAAAAAGAACTTTAATCTGAACAGAACTTTATTCCGAACAGAACTTTAATCTGAACAGAACTTTTATTCTAAACAGAACTTTATTCTAAAAAGAACTTTAATCTGAACAGAACTTTATTCCAAAAAGAACTTTAATCTGAACAGAACTTTATTCTGAACAGAACTTTAATCTGAACAGAACTTTATTCCAAAAAGAACTTTAATCTGAACAGAACTTTATTCTGAACAGAACTTTAATCTGAACAGAACTTTAATCTGAAGAGAACTTTAATCTGAAAAGAACTTTATTCTGAACAGAACTTTATTCCAAAAAGAACTTTATTCTGAACAGAACTTTAATCTGAAGAGAACTTTAATCTGAAAAGAACTTTATTCTGAACAGAACTTTAATCTGAACAGAACTTTAATCTGAACAGAACTTTATTCAAAAAAGAACTTTATTCTGAACAGAATTTTAATCTGAACAGAACTTTAATCTGAACAGAACTTTATTCAGAACAGAACTTTATTNTTAAACAGAACTTTAATCTGAACAGAACTTTAATCTGAACAGAACAACTAGAATATTTTCTTTCTATTCTAGCAACTTTAATCTGAACAGAACTTTATTCTTAACAGAACTTTATTCTGAACAGAACTTTATTCTGAACAGAACTTTAATCCATCAAATGTAATCTAAACAGAACTTTATTCTGAACTGAACTTTATTCTGAATAGAACTTTAATCTGAATAGAACTTTATTCTAACAAATTTAATCTGAACAGAATTTTAATCTGAACAGAATTTTAATCTGATCAGAACTTTAATCTAAAGAGAACTTTATTCTAAACAGATTTTTAATCTGACCAGAACTTTAATCTGAACAGAACTTTATTCTAACAACTTTAATCTGAACAGAACTTTATTCTAACAAATTTAATCTGAACAGAACTTTAATCTGAACAGAATTTTATTCTGAACAGAACTTTAATCCGAACAGAACTTTAATCTGAACAGAACTTTATTCTAACTAATTTAATCTAAGCAGAACTTTAATCTGAACAGAATTACAATCTGAACAGAACTTTATTCTGAACAAAACTTTAATCTGACCAGAACTTTAATCTGAACAAAATTTTAGTATGAAACGAACTTTATTCTAACAAATTTAATCTGAACAGAACTTTATTCTTAACAGAACTTTATTCTGAACAGAACTTTAATCCATCAAATGTAATCTAAACAGAACGTTATTCTTAACAGAACTTTATTTTGAATAGAACTTTATTCTAGCAACTTTAATTCGAACAGAATTTTAATCTGAACAGAATTTTAATCTGATCAGAACTTTAATTTAAAGAGAACTTTATTCTAAACAGATCTTTAATTTGACCAGAACTTTAATCTGAACAAATTTTASTATGAAACGAACTTTATTCTAACAAATTTAATCTGAACAGAACTTTATTCTAACAAATTTAATCTGAACAGAACTTTAATCTGAACAGAATTTTAATCTGAACAGAACTTTATTCTGAACAAAACTTTAATCTGAACATAATTTTATTCTGAACAGAACTTTAATCTGAACAGAACTTTATTCCAAAAAGAACTTTAATCTGAACAGAACTTTATTCCAAAAAGAACTTTAATCTGAACAGAACTTTATTCTGAACAGAACTTTAATCTGAACAGAACTTTATTCCAAAAAGAACTTTAATCTGAACAGAACTTTATTCCAAAAAGAACTTTAATCTGAACAGAACTTTATTCC